GGCACAACCACTGATCAAGGCCCTTTGAAAATCAAAGATAATAAAGTGTCAGGGGAAAGAAGTTTTGTTTTCTCAACAGAGAATTTAATAAATGAACTTACTTCCCTGATCCTTTATAGTTCACACTGGGAAAACTTAACTCACTTTTAAGGGCATCCCCAATCAACAAACTGATCAATCAGCCCATATTTAGAAAAATAAACCCCGTAGCTAAGAAAAATATATCAAATGCCCTTCGAACCCAGAATGTAATAAAACTTTGACACCAGAATGAAAAACTTCTCAGCCTCCGTACCAGACTGGGTGTTAGTTTACCCAGCCTATATATCAAGTTCACATGAACAACAGCATCTACACACCTTGATGTAGGTAAGAACTGCATGTTAATATCCCTTCATTTATCCTTTTATTCGCTGTGGCACAGTTTGAAGCCAATGGTATAAACACCATAGTAAATTCCAGTGGTAAAGAGCAGCCTTCTTTCTCTGTGAGGAGTGTAGATGTTGGAAGTCTTCAAACTACATGGTAGTTCAGTAAGACAAATGATGAATTTACAGAAACTGAGAAATGGTTAAACATGAAAAGAATTCTTGTGGGTGGTTTAAAATTTTGTCAATGTGTGGCAATGATAATAGAAGAGGTGCAGAGAGAGAGATTCTGTCACATATACCTTCAACAGTGAAACCATTCTCCTGGATGTTTGGAAAAGATTAACAGATTTGGAATGAATACATTTTCATAGAACACAGAATTCCTGGTACATCAGGCAGTAGTTCTTAAACTTTTGCTTATAAGTCATAGAGCATTCACAAATGGAATTATCTGGACAGTAATGCCTTGTTACATGTGGCTATTTGAATAAATCTCACTGAAAATTGAGCAGTCCCCTCACTCAGCTACCAGATATGACGAGGAACAGTTAGGGGCATTGACAGACATTGGCTATTCTTGTAGTAGCAAATATTAATCCAATGGAAGAAATAAAAAATAAAAACAAGCTGGCCATTTAGCTCAGTTGGTTAGAGTGGTGCTAAAAACACCAAGGTCCAGGATTAGATCCCTGTAAAGGACAGCAAAAAAATAAAGCGCTTTATTTGCACTGTTCTGTTTTAGATAATCTCAAACATGCTGAAGCTGGCCTATCAGCATCTCAAAGAATTTGTGAAAAATGGAATTTTCCTTGAATACCAAAAAAGTTGGGAACACAGAGTAGAAATCTATAGTACAAACGCCGTTTCCTAAGGTTGATCCTCTGGATCAGGCTGTTCACAGCAGGAAAACGATCTTTGGGAAATCTTTATTAAGGTCATATTTGGAAAAAGGCTCTTTAGTGAAAAGTCACCGGAATCACAAGAATAGAGTTTAGTGGCATCTGGAAACAGTAAGTGATGAGAAGAAATAAGGGGAAGAAAATCACAGTGAGGGAGTCTTTAGCAAACACATATGGCAAAACTGATCAAAGTCCCAAATGTGTTCAAGTCTCCTATTCTTGTGTGTAGTACACAAATATGAATAATGAAAAGAAAAAACTTAATAGAGAGAGCGGGAGAAGAAGATAATAATGATGACAGCTCCCATGCACTGAGGCATTACTGCCAGGCTTCAGGTCAGGGTGGGAGCCAGTGTGGTCAGGAAGAGAGGAACTCAGCAGGGCGTGGAGGCACAGGCACAGCAGCTACAACGACCACTGACCCAATCCACTTCCCTCCTTCTCCTTCTCTCTCTTTTTAGCTCCTCCTTTCAGGAGACTGGGGAGTTTTGCCTGAGGGTTTTGAAGAAATACCTGATTCTCTCTCCACAGGGTAATAATACCCCTTGGATTCTGGCAACTGGTGGGAACCAACTCTAGGATCTATATAAACATGCACTTGTGGATTATTTAAATTTTAAAATTTACTTTGCAGCAGTAGGTAGGATATAGTAAGAAAGTGGGTTAAACTGCTCTAGCTGTCCTATTTGGGGAACATAAAAAAAGCAAAGAGAAAATTTTTGATTTTAGGGGTTTTATAGCAGTCACAACTGTATTTTACTTCTTCACACTCTTACTTGTTTATATGTTGTAGACCAAAGTGCTTATATTGTTTTGTATTTCTTGCAATGGTTTCTGACAACATGAGTATGCCTGCAGGTGCATCCTCTTTGTTAACAGAAGTATTATATCAAGTTCAGATAAACCAACAACAAAAACCACCCCGGACACTAAAAAGGTAGAACAATCCCCATTCCTTGCAAATTCTCAATGTGTTTTCCTGTAACAAAATGAGTCTCACCAGGGACTACATTACTTGTGTACTTATATATTCTACATATTGTATAATTACAACCATGCCTTCTAATCTTGAAGTCCCTTCTTTGTCTAAAATAGAGCTTTACACACTGTAGGCATTAATATGTTTTAAAATTAATGAATTAAAAAAAGAACAATTTGCAGAAACAGTTTAAAAAATGTAGAACAGGAAGCAAATATTGAACTAATGAACAAAAATTTTACAAGGTAAAAACTTCACCTAGAGAAAATGCTTAATTTCTCCTTGCTTAGTGAAAGGATTAACAAATCCACTGCACATATGTAAATTTTGGCATCAAGAAATCCTGTCTATAGTGGACATATTTTTGTCCAGTTTACCTTTAGGGAACCAGCCCTTTTCCCTTCCATAATAATCTAGTTCAGTCCATGTAACAGGGTGGGGCTGATCTCATCCTCTACCATTGGGTCTACATACAAACCCAGAATTGGCCAGTAAGAATATTCCATCCTTGGCCAGTGACTGGGTTAGGAATGAGCAGTGACTCAGGCAATCACAGTCCTCTTTGGTCTACAATATAAGCACTTTGGTCTACAACATATAAATGAGTAAGAGTGTGAAGATATTTTGAAATACTAAGTAAAAATATTAAGTACTAACTACTTCTGGAACAGCTGTTAGAAAAGACACCCTTTTTCCCTGGGGATTTTTGAGCTGGTATTACAGCCATTTCTATCACCATGAGGAGAAAGGCTGCCTGGGAATGAAGTTAACACAGAGGAAAGCCAAGATAAAAGATGGGGAAGGGAGGGGAAAAGAGAGAGAAAAGGCAAATTCTTGATGATAAAATCTGAGCCCTTGAATCTAGCCATGCCTAAAGCCAAATTCTACCCCTTGATTTTACAGTTGTATGAATAAATTAATTCCCTCCTTTTCTCTCTTAAGTCGGTCCGAATTAGGTTTCTGTTACTTCCTCTATGCAGTCCTGACTAACTCAAACCCATTTTGTTTGATTTTTGGATGCCCATATTTTAGGAATGATTGTAAAATTCCTGAGTGGCTCATTTGTGCCAGGCACTACACTGGGCTCTGGGGTACTGCTTTGCCTTAAGAGAACTTAGGTTCTAGTAGGGGAGAAATAAGTATAGAGTAGAGAAGAAGGCACAATGAAGAGTGGTGACAAATTCTAGTGGACAATTGGGAGAATCTTCAATTAGTATTTTAAATAACCCCGCTATCCACCTCCTAATTCTATTTCAAAGTTTCAAAGGTTTCACTAAATACAAACTTTTATATTCACCAAGTAGCCTTTGCTCTTGCTAGTAATTAAGTTTATAGTATAAGAAAGAGCACGATTTCATGTAAAAAGCAATGGAAAATCTGAATCTTTAATTTGCTATTTATTAGCTGTGGACCTGGGCCAAGCCACTTCTCTGAGCCCAATTCTGCATCTACAAAACAACAATAATTTCTACATTCTCTCTTTTGTGGAAACGATAAAACCGGATAATGTATATAACAGTACTGTCAACTGTATAGTGCTATATAAAACATAAGTGTTTCTGAATGTGTGGTTTGATACGGGGTACAAGGCAAGAACAAAACTCACAAAGGACTGGAAAATACCAACAAGCTCCAGGACAGTCTTTTCTTTAGGCAAACAGATATCAAACTAAATAAAAGTGACCTTAAATGATCTAGGACCAGAAGGTACTCAACCTTCAAAATTTTCAATGTTTGAAAATTATAGGTCCTTCCTCCTTTAGTAGTTGGGGAAGAAATCTTTTTTCCCTAAAAGGCTTGTCTTTTCAGAGAGTAAATAAAATGCTTCAGAGTAGAAGGCTGATCAGTTTCCCTACTGGGTTTCTTGGAAGTGTTAGTAATCCTAACTTACACTGGGAAGTTGAAAAATTAAAAAGCAGAGGTCACAACAAATAAGTAGAGAATCTATCTTAGAATCCTTTTTGTGCATGAAGTCACACTGCTTATCAGCAGTTGCAACTCATCTACATTTGCGGCTGTCTCCTTCCTTCTTCCTTCCAAGCACCTGCCACTTACTCCCCAAAGTAGAAAAATAAAAAAAGAAAAAGCATGTAATTTATGATGTTCAGGTAAGAATAATGTATACTGTGGAGTTCTAACGTGGATTGAAGAGCTTTTAAAATGTAAAGCAATTTTGTGAATAATTTTAGAATTCACATTTATAATTTTTTTCTAAATCTACTAGTATTAAACCTTTGGTGTACAATCTTTTAGAAATGGAACTAAACACCATGAACTTTCACAAAGTACAAAGATTCTTCAAGAAGTTTGTGGAAAAAAGAATTAAAGATAATATGAATCTTTCCATGGACTTTTTCAAGTACCCTCATAGGAATGGACAGCACATAAATGGTTCTTAACTTATGATGGTTCAAATTATGATTTTTTGACTTTATGATGATGAGAAAGCAATTCATGTTTAGTAAACTCCTCGACTTACAATGAGGCTACATGTAGATAAGAGATTTTCCATTTGTGATGAATTTAAGTCAAAAACGCACTTCCAACTTAAGATATTTTCAACTTACGATGGGTTTATCATGATGTAACGCTGCTGTAAGTTGAGCAGCATCTTTATTCATATTATGTAATTACCGATGGGCTCTACTGCTACTGATGATGGCAACATGACAGAAGACAAAAAGCACACACATACATTCCTGCCCCCTCACCTCACCCCAAACATAAATTTCGAACATTTAGAAAGGATACTGGCCAAAGTGTTCATTTTGCTGTGAATTGACTTTAACATTCCTCTCTGTGAAGTGATATTTTCTTTTGTTGCCATAGCAATGCTGCAAGAGGGAAAAACAGACAATTAAATTGGCATTTAAGATTACCTGCATGGATCCACCATACCCGTAAAAGTGAGCGGAAAACTACACTGAACAACATCATCTTGAAAAGCACTGGGCAGGAAAATGGGGGTACGGGGGGAATCACTTCCCAAGACACTTTCCTACTGTCCTTTTTCAGAATGACTCCACTGATCATATAATACAAAAACTTCTTAAAATGATTTTAAAAGGAGCCAGCTACTAAAAGATTCTTAGTCAGGAGAAACTTGAGAGGGAAGTAGGGAATTATAATCATAAAAATAGAACCAAAAGTGTAAAATATCACAAAATATTCATATACAACCAGCCTTCAATTTATGAAGAAATTATGTTCCAAAATTCTGCTTGAGAATCAACTATGCAGATTTGGGGACACACATGAAACATTACGCTGGGCTTCCAAGGCAGCCGACAAAGGTCACCGATTCAATAAACATGACTGAGAGAAAGGAAAAAGTCATTCCTAGTAGAATACAATCTCTTCCATGTGACAACTTTGATGTTTTGTTTAAAAGAATCTAACTTTACATCATTTAGCTATCACTTCCAGGTTTTTATTTTCCATAGTCTTATTTCTCTGGACATTAGAATCCTAGAGGATAGGGCCAGTATCCATTTTGATACATAACACACAGGGGAGTGCTTTAGATATTGACATTATAAAAAGCAATAGGAAATGGAATACTGTTGAGCAATTCTGAAAATATATGAAACATTTAAAAAACAAAAAAAGCAATAGAGATTCAGACTCTGGGAAGACAGTCAGAGTACAAATTCCTAACCTTGTCTCTGGCCCATTTTCCTCCACGCAGTAACACAAGAACAAAGGCGGACATACTGGGAAGGGTCAATCTGAGGTCCCAAGTTCCCTTGAGATCTCCAGGAAGAAAGCCAGGTGGAGGGCTATACTTTCTCAAGCAAGGAGAGACCAAGGAACTAATGGCAGGGAAGCTTGGATTCTTCTTTAAGCCTGGGGCAAATATCTAGGTTTCATTGTTTCCTGTGGAGACCAGACAGTGGAAGCCTGGATCTACACGTACAGAGGCTGCAGTGTGACAGACTGAACTGCTCCCAGTCTCTGCAGCTGGGCAAGGATGGCTACACACAGCCACAGAAACTTAGAAGCAGAGAGCTTACAGTCTAGCAGCTGGTGTGATGCCTGTTCCCTAAGAGGAAAAACTACCGAGCCATCCATCAGCACCTGGTATGCCACTGCTTAAGTGTCTCTAGTAGTCTGACCTATCTGGGAGCCGAGTAAACATATTTTTGGACAGGTAAGCCTTCAGATAGTAAACCACCAGGTACCTTTACTGAAAGGAAATGCTAGCGGGAGTACTTTAGCAAACGACAAATGAATCAAAATTTCAATTTCGAGATTTGAGAAGGCAAAGAAGAAATAAAAGTGTGTAAGGAAATATATGAAAGGATATTTATTGAAGCATTTTTTTTAACAGTAAAAAACAAACAAGGACAAAAACATCAGGGAAAAACCCCCAAAACTGGAAATAACATTTGAATGGTATAATAGGTTATGATATGAGGGAACTTCAAAAAGTTCATGGAAAGATACTTATTAGCTTTTAATTCTATTTTTCCACAACCTTTTTGAAGTACCCTCACATAATTATACTATGAAATAGTATTTGGTTATTAAAAGGAATGAATTAGTATTATTTCTATTAACCTAGAGAGATGTTTATGATATACTGAGTGATTAAAGCAAACCACAGAATGTGTAGAGGATAAGTCCTGTTATTTTCAGAAGCAAACATCTGTGTGTATGTTTGTATGATAGTGAGAAAGGTATCAGAAAGATACACAACTGTCAGTTAACACAAGTTACTTCAGGAGCTAAGAATGCAGGGGCACTACCGGAGATTAACTTTTTTTAAAAATACATTTTAGTATTATTAAAATTGTTACAACAAGAACATTGTACTTTTATAATATATAAATGTCTAATAAAGACAAGTGAAAACGAAATTAGAGGAATTCCACGTGAAGTGAATAAGAAATGTTAGTAACACTAGCCCCTCCAAAACAACTACTGTTATTCACCTCAGTAGCACTATGAGGCAAAAGATTCACGGAAATTTGTACAAGGAGTTGCCAGACCCCTGAACTGCCTTCCTTAACCCATGGAGCCAGGTGACAGCCCCTAGTCCAGTAGAAGACCTAGCCCAGAAGAAGAGATTTAGAGATACTGACAATTTGAAGTCCCCAATGAAACAGCCAGGTCCGTGCCTGATCATGCACTGTGAGGCCTACCACTGAGTAAGTCCAACCACCCATGCACATGGAATGAGCTTCCAATCACTGAATTTTGGAGAGACGTCTTTAAATATGAACAAAGAGCCAACAATCACCAGATGTGGGACAGCTTAAACTTAAGAGGCAGAGATACAAACAAACCAACAAGCAAACAGAAAGTGAGTCTGAGGAAATAAAGGCAATAAAGTTCAAGAAACTCTAAAATAAAAATTATATCTAATGTCTTCAGAGAGATAAAAGAAGGTTATGACACCCATGAAACACACATGTGTGTTTGTGTATGTATCTGTCCCTCAAAAAGAGCTCATGTAAATTTAAAAAAGAAGAGTAAAGTTAAAAATGTAATAGAAGGGCTGAAAGCAGAAATTGAGTAAATCTCCCAGACAGATGAATAAAAATGAAAGATGAATTAAAAACAGAAAAGGTAAGAAAGGATCAACTCAGAAGGCCCAATATACAACCTTTTACATTTTTAAAAAAGAAACAGAGAAGGGGCTGGCTGGTTAGCTCAGGTGGTTAGAGTTTGGTGTTATAACACCAAGGTCAAGGGTTTGGATCCCCTCACTGGCCAGCCACAAAAAAAAAAAAAAAAAGAAAAGAAAAGAAAAGAAAATGACAATATAAGAAAACTTCCCAGAACTGAAGATGAGTTTCTAGTTTCCAGATTGTATGAGCCCACCCAATGCCCAAAGCAATAGATTGAAAAAGACACTTGCTAAGCTCATCATGGTGAAATTGAAATTGGAAAAATATATAAAGAAAAAGAAATGATTCTAAAAACTTCCAGAGAAAGGAAGCGTATCATATACAAAGGACCAGAATTTTTTTTTTTTTTTTTTGTCTTTTTTCGTGACCGGTAAGGGGATCGCAACCCTTGGTGTGGTGTCACCCGTACCGCGCTCAGCCAGTGAGCGCACCGGCCATTCCTATACAGGATCCGAACCCGCGCTCCCAGCGCCGCACTCTCCCGAGTGCGCCACGGGGCCGGCCCTGACCAGAAATTTTAATTGAAATTGGATTTTAAAAGCAATACTGGAAACAATGCTTTAAGAGAATTTCAAAATTATTTTCAACCTAAAATTCTATATCTTAGATAAACAATGAATCAAGAATATGGGTATAATAAAGACTTTTTAGATGTAGACAGTCCAAAAAATTTCCCTCCTATTCTTTCTCAGGAAGCTACTAAACAACATGGTCCAGCATAATGAAGGAATAAACTAAGAAAGTGGAAGACACTAAACTCCCAAAATTGGTGATCTAATAAAGAAGATTATTTCAGGATAATGGAGAAAGAACATCTCAGAACAGTGGAAGGCCTAGAAAACAACCAATCAAGATTAGAGCAGGGCTGGTTTGTTCACTCGGTGCTGATAACACCAAGGCCATGGGTTTGGATCCCATATAGGGATGGCTGGTTAGCTCACTGGGGGAGCATGGGGCTTACCAGTCATCTTTTTTTTTTTTTTTAAAAAAAAGATGACTTAGGGTGGCCCGTGGCTCACTTGCTAGAGTGCGGTGCTGATAACACCAAGGCCATGGGTTTGGATCCCATATAGGGATGGCTGGTTAGCTCACTGGGGGAGCATGGGGCTTACCAGTCATCTTTTTTTTTTTTTTTAAAAAAAAGATGACTTAGGGTGGCCCGTGGCTCACTTGCTAGAGTGCGGTGCTGATAACACCAAGGCCATGGGTTTGGATCCCATATAGGGATGGCTGGTTAGCTCACTGGGGGAGCATGGGGCTTACCAGTCATCTTTTTTTTTTTTTTTAAAGATGACCGGTAAGGGGATCTCAACCCTTGGCTTGGTGTTGTCAGCACCACGCTCAGCCAGTGAGCAAACCAGCCATCCCTATATGGGATCCAAACCCATGGCCTTGGTGTTATCAGCACCGCACTCTACCAAGTGAGCCACGGGCCAGCCTAAGTCATCTTTTTTTTAAAAAAAAAAAAAAGAAGAAAAGTCAAACTAACAACTTGCTTTGTGTCATTTAGTTCCTATCGTTTTTCAGTTTAAGTGTATGTCTATGACAGAATATGATACATTTAAAATGTGGTTGTTTTAAAAATAAATTTACAAGGTATTTAAAAAATAGGTGTTAGGTATTGTGTAAAGTAACAGAATTCAAACCTAGCCTGAGAGGGCTGGCAGACTTGCTCAGTTGGTTAGAGTGTGGCCTTATAACACCAAGGTCAAGGGTTTAGATCCCCATACCGGCCAGATGCCAAAAGACAAAAACAAAAACAAAAACAAACCTAGGCTGAGCAATTTGAGGCCAATTCTTGAATCACATACGCCTCTGTTTTTTAAACTGGGACTATCACCATCTCCTGTGCACTTTGACTCACAAGTGGATAGAGATTAAAAAATAATTTTCATAAAGCACTTTGTATTCCTTGGAGAACAAATATTATCATCACACATTATGTTGTTATCTTGTTGAATATGCACAATTTCCAGTATCACATAAAATATATCTAGATACATTTTCCAATCTCATTCCATCATTTGGAGTCAAGCTGAGTGAAATCTAGGCTGCTGTCATCTCAAGGGTCAAATACTCAGAGGGAATATATAAGCTCCAAATAATATATAATGCTTTTAAAACAATAAAATCATTGATGTGCCCACTGGAACTTCAACTTTCTTACCTGTTCTGTGAACTAAACTCAGTCACTTATTTTCTTAACAACAGATGATACCAGTTATACATTTAAAGGTTAAGAATAAATTTACAAATATTAAAAATATTAGTTCTTTTCCATAAATTGATGTCAAAGTCCATACTCAGTTGTGCACACATCTTTAAAATGTATCTCCAAAAGGAAAAGGTAAATTTTCACATTTGAAATATGCAGAAATAATTATTTGACTCTTAAATTTTATATTGTCCATATATAATCATGACTAGCTTTATATTCAGTGAAATTTCACTTGTTACAACTACCATATTTTGAAACAAAGGGAAATACTAAAATAAAAGACCTTCTAACAACATGTTTTTTAACTAGCAAAATAATAGCTGCAGTAATTCAATGGTTCTCAAGTGTTCCTATCCTATGAGGTACCCCAAATTTTTATACCCATATTACCAGCCCTTAAATAGGTCAGCACTGAACTGAGAAGCTTCAAGGGCAGCCTGGCCCTAGAAGATTAGGCAGAAAGAAAGGGAAATAAGAAGAAGAAAAAAAGGAAAAGGAGTGTAGGGAAATTTAAAGTAAAGAATTTCTGGCAAAACGTGATTAGACTTCAAGTACTGATGAAAGTGAAGGAGTTAAAAGGGAGATATTACAGCTGACAATTAAGCAATTCTGCGAAAACTTTGTTCAGATAGAAGATACAATGCATGCAATTCAAACAAAAATTCAAGACATGATAACTGCATATTATTGTAAAAGATTAAAATTATTAAGATTATTATTAAATAATGACGGAAATATACTATAACCTACTGAATAAAGTAAGAATCCATGAATCCATACTGATACAAATATTTAGGAAATGAATACTGAAATATTTAGGAGTAAAGAGGCATTATGTCCGCAACTTATTTTCAAGTCGTTCAGAAAATAAACTTTGAAAAAGCAAATGTGGTAAGATGTTAACATTTGGGGAAGCTAGGTAAAGGGTATAGGGGAATTCTTTGTACAATTGTACTATTGGAACTTTTTTGAAATCTGAAATGATATCAAAATAAAAAGTTTTAGGGCCGGCCCTGTGGCGCACTGCTACAGTGCGCCGCTTGGGAGTGCGGTGGCGCTCCCGCCGAGGGTTCGGATCCCACATACAGACTGGTTCCCGCTCACTGGCTGAGCGAGGTGTGGGAGCAACACCGAGGGTTGCGATCCCGTTGCCGGTCCCGGTCCGGTACGGGCGCGACACTGAGGGTTGCGATCCGTTGCCGGACACGAAAAAAGACAAAAAGGAAAAAAAAAATAATAAAAAAAAATAATAAAAAGTTTTAAAAAAAGGATTAGTATTAACAACCGACTTTACAGATTAACTAGTATCAGCCAGGTACTATACTAGGCATTTTTCTTACATTATCTTTAATCTTCCAATAATCTTGCAAGGTGGGTATTGTCAACAATACCATGTTTTTAAACAGGTAAGAAAATGAAGGTTCCAAAAAGTTAAAGTAACTTATCTAACAACAGAGATCTAATAAGTAGCACAGCCAGGTTTCAAACCAAATCACACTCCAAAGGTTGTATACCTTCTACAATGGGGTATATATAGTAGTAGTGGTTTATACAGAGCACTGGTTCTAGAGTTAGAGAGACTTAGATTGAGGATTTGAATCCTCAATACTATTTATTAGTTATGTGACCATAGGCAAATTACTTACCTTAATTTCTTTTTTGTTTTGGAGAGAATACTTAATAATTGGTGTCTATCTCATGGGTTATTGAGAAGATTAAATAAAATAATGCATGCAAAGCACTTTAGCACAGGACCAAGGCCCACGGCAAGAATGCAAACATTTGCTGTTTTGTTTCCATGTACTTCACTCTACCTTTCCTGAAAAAACAATGCTAAATTCTAATGTGCAGAGACCATACGTAGTTAATTTTCTTTTTTACTATCATAAAATAGATATTTAAAAATTCACCAAACCTAGAAAATTAAGCAGTTCAAACCAACAAATAAATGCCCGTAACTTAAGCAAGAAACTACTTCAATGTTTTTACAGAAATATTGAATATTACTGCAGAAGATTTTCTTCAGCTGCTGTAACAGAAACCAAATCTGCATTTTTGGTATAAATAAGACATTTACCAAACAAAATTTAAGATTCGTTTCCATTAAAAAGTGACAATAAAAAAGTTGAGGCTGTAAATATTAAGAATGAATTAACTGGAAAAATTAACCTAAGCAAAACAGCCTAATTCCAGTAACTCTAGAAATAAATGTTTTGGGTTTCAAATGTCTCTTACAAGGGAAAGACACAGTAAAAAAATATATTACCATCTAGTGAAATTCTCATCTTTAAGTAGCATGAATTGATTTTAACTTGTTATAGGTTTAACATGATCAGTTGATTAAATTTATGTGCAAACAAAACCAACAAAGTAAAACAAAAAATTATTCCTACCTTATTGTCTCTTCTATCAGACGATCTGAGCTACAAATAAAAAGGAAATTCAAATTCTGGAATTATTAAATGTATATTTCAAACTTTTACTTTTCTTTTATATACAAACTTTTCAGTCATTTATGTATACAAAATAACTTGATTTTTAAAAGCATCTGGAGAAAATTCTGGGCTTTGAATTAAGTTTAATTTATCCACATATATAAAATTTTCATCTTACTTTTATTTGTTAGTTTAAACCTATTTTTTCCCACAGAGACAGCTAATGACTAAAGTCAGAACAGTTTTAATGACAGCATAATGAAATAAAGCTGCTTCTTTAGTCTAGATAGCTCAAAGTTGTCCCACCATCCATTCAAAACTTAAGAATTATAACCAACTTGTTGAGACAGGATAGGTAAATACAGTCCTGATGTCTACGAGTAGTAATTATTTACACCTTAAAGTTACATCCTTTCTTGGGAAAGTTTGTTTTGGAAACTAAATTAAATCTCAGCTTACTAACTTCAGAATTCAAGAATCCGAATAAAGAAACCAAATGCACCTTTGATCTGTAAACCGTTTGCCTTTATGCATCACACATCAGAAAGAAACAAACAAAGCCATTTCAGGGAGGAATTTATTGGTAGCTAAATTTTGTACAGGGAGAGCTTTATAGCACAAAGTAGAAAAACAAACGTCCAGAGATCTGTATTGATTTGTCACAGTGCAAGGTACACAGTAGGCACTCAAATAAATACTTGCATTTTTTCCAACTACTTCTTTCTCTCCAAAAGAATTTCTAAGTTCATTCTATAAATTAATAAGCTGAGGTTTTACTATAAATTAGTTAACTAAGGGCTAGCCCGTTAGCTCAGTTGGTTAGAGCTGGATGTTGTAATACCAAGGTCAAGGGTTCCGATCCTCATATAGGCCAGTTGCCAAAAAAAAAAAAAGTAGTGAAGAAGAAAATCAAAGTTATTGCATGAATTGGGAAACAAAGACGAGCATTAAAAATGTCATAAATACCTTATATAAAACCTGTGACTAAGAAATTCAAAAACTACAAAGATGGTGGTTAAAAGCCAGACTGTGTCTGTTTAAATGCTGGCTCTACCACTTACAGCAGTCCTTCCCTATCTGCAGTTTCATTTTTTCTCAGTTACTGTGATATTATGGAAACATCCTTAGTCTCCTGATACACAACTCCTAAAATCCTTAGACTCTACAAAGTGATCGAAATCTTTTCGTATGCTAATGATGACTTGAAGTCCCCAGGTAGCTTCAAGATGGGGGTTGGTCACAGGAAACACCAAACCTCCAGGAAGCAGAGAGGGGCTGAAGGTTAAGTAGATCACCAGTGGCCAATGATTTTATCAAGCCTGCCTATGTAATGAAGCCTCCATAAAAACTCAAGAGACCTGCGTTTGGAGAGCTTTTCGATAGCTGAACACAAGAAGGTTCTTAAGAGGGTGGTGCGCCCAGGGAGGGCACGGAAGCTGTGTCCCTTCTCCCATACCTTGTCCTATGCATCTCTTCATCTGTATCCTTTGTAATAACCTTTATAATAAACCAGTAAATGGAACTACGTGTTTCCCTGAATTCTGTGAACCGCTCAAGCATCTGAATCCAAGGAAGAAGTGGGAACCCTGATTTATAGCTGGTTGGTCAGAAGTTCCAGAGGCCCAGACTTGTGACTGGCATCTGAAGGGGGTGGGGGCAGTCTTGGAGACTGAGCCCTCAACCTGTGGGATCTGACGCTATAGACAGTGGCAGAAATTAGTTGGAAGGCATCCAGCTGGTGTCTACTGCACAAGTGCTTGCTTGCTGGTGGAGATAAATCCCCACAAATTTGGTTGCAGAAGTCTGTCTTCTCTGTTGATAACTGTGCTGTGAGAGAGCAGAGGAAATGACGGCATGTGTTTTTTCTCACTCTTATAGATACCCATAGCCAACCTTGGTTTGAAAATATTGGTACTGGTAATCTGAATAAACCTTCCAATCCTTGCATCAACTTTTGGACTTTCAGGTCATTTGTTTAACACGAGAGGGCAAGCCGAGCCTGATCTGTTGGTAACAGAAGTAACTTGCTCAAGTGTCATACAGTTATCTGCGGAGTCAGAATTCAAACTCAGTCTGATTTCAGAGATTTGGCTCTTACTGTCTCAATAAATGACAGCTCCCCTCCCCTCCCATCACCTTCTGCAATAAGTACTAGTTTTTATCTAGTACTTCTAGACTATCACTCATCCCTCCTCTAGCAAAAATCTATACTCTGAGGTTCGCCCCTTCTCGCTACCTTCCCCTTCCCTCTCATATAGTAACCTCCAGGTCACTGGAGGATCTCTTCATTCCAAATTTTATCATAATTCTTGACAATTTAAATAGCGACAGAGGACAGACTATCCACATAGTAGACCCACAGTTCCTTGGTCCCCTTCACTCCAAAGAATGAACACATGAATGCTCCTAGTTTTCTTTAGTCTTTCTCAGATTTGGTCACTTCTCTTCTTTTCCAAAATCATCCTTCAATTTTTGTCTTAATAAACCAGTTAGAGGGCCCCTCAAAAGATTCTTGGGACAAACAAAATTGACTTGTATAAGGATATAGGAAAAAACAGAGTTTCCCCTACTCTCTACTCTCACACAGTCATTCAACACAATGACTTCTGACACCAGATATGTGGTCTTTTCCCCCCACAGACCAAGCAAGCAACCAAATTCTGCAGTGGACACCAGCTGGGTGTCCGCTAATTCAATTAAATTCTGAAATGATCTACCTGGAGATAGGGTCAGATTCCCCAGGTTGAGGGCTCAGTCTCACAAGACTGCCTCCCCCCCCCCCCCCCCCCCCCCCCCCCCCCCCCC